CCGGCAACGCTACATTGCCCCATAAACAATGATTTATTGTACAACTGGCAACGCCGAACCTGTCATGCTGGCATGTATTGACATTTGATAGATGCAATCTTATGAGTCTAGTGTTTACAGTGTCCTTCTTCAACCAATAGATAGTTCAGCTAGTGACTCATAGATGACTCTGTGTGTTCTATAACTTTTGTTGTTTTCATATACTTTTGTATCGATGAATCGAGCGCTCATCTTTGTGTGGTTACTGATAACTGGACATGGAACAATTCTACTCAAATTTGCACGTGTTCCTCCATAAGGAATGGCTTAGAACTCTTGCAGCTATATTACTTTCCTTTGACCAGATCTGTCGAAGTTTGAGCTGATACTTGCTGCGGAGAGAGTTCTTTACTGCTGTTACCTCTTGTGAGTGACGCTGTTCCACCTCAAGGTAAGTATGCGCCTTTCCAACATCTTAATGGTGTAGGATGATTCCGTCTACGAGCTGCACATCCTCTCCGTAGTCTCCGCATCGTCCTCTTTTGAGATGGACCATATCACATTTGTCTATCCCGAATTTCATACTGATAGCATGCGTGCACTCTCCCACCACCCTCAAGGACTGATGGATATCCTTCTCTCCAGAGACATACAGTTGGAGATCATCCATATAAAACAAATGGGTGACCTTGTGCCTCCGGTTTCCGGGGTAGCCACAGTTATACCCTCGAGTATTTCAGAGCGCAACGAATAATGGCGAAAGCGATATGCAGAAGAGAAGGGGACAGAGGGAATCACTCTGAAATACACCCCTTCTGAATGTGACCTACACTGTTTGGACTCTTGCTTGACCAGAGTTGACGAGTTCGCCAAAGTGGTATCAGTTGTTCAATGCATCTCACTATTTTGTCGGGTACTGCAAGGCATCTGAGGAAATGCAAGATGAGCTCATACGATATTGTATCAAATGCTTTACGGTAATCGTATTATTATTATTATTATTGATAAAATATCATATTTCAATATGATTATCCTATTCCCGACGAAGACAAATGAAAAAACACAAAAATATCGAGGTTTTTCTCTTCAAACTCCGCAGATTCTATCCAGACAGTTCTGTCAAGATGGTTGTTCTGATTATTGGAGTCCGTGGTGAAATGATGTCCTCTCTTCTCTTGAATCTTAAAATCATACCGGCCTGTCGCACTAAGGCAGAAATCTTAGCCGAACATATGCAGGAGGCCGACATTCTGGGCTCACTGCGCTTGTTCAGGGCACATGATTCTTGGACCCAATAATCACTTACCCCACGGTATGGGGAGTGGTCGTTGGTTGATAATGCTGGCGCGCCCTCCCGAATGTATCGGAACTTCGGGGGATAGGGCCTGACCAGCGCATACTCCAGTAAAAAGAAGATAATATAACTTTTAGGGAAACCCAAGGATAATCCAACGCATGGGGTCCCCTTCAATAACATTGGAGACCTTCGCTTATCAAAGCGACTGACTTTCACTTTCCTCAGGTCGAGTGGGCTGAAGTCGAAAACTGAGGAGTTCATCAGGCGTGCCAGGATGGTGTCTTCTACACCTTAGTCTACCGCAGTCGCGTGATGGATATATAGGTTCCTGACACAAGGTGCAGGGCCTGCCGCGAGGCGACCAAGACCCTAATGCACTTGCTATCAGCATATCCAGCATATGCGGTCTCGGTCTATATCCATCGACATAACGCACCTGTACAAGTGCTATATTACCATCAACGGCACTCTTACGGTATTGACGCGACACCGGGGTTGCCCTCCGCTCCGGGGGATATTGAATCCGTTGTGGGAAACGATAAGTGCCGAATTTATTCGAACTATTCGTTTCCCACCCTCAGGCTCATACAAGCTGATAAGCCTGATGTAGTCCTACTTGACCACCAGAGCAAGATGATATTTGTCGTGTAGTTCTCAGCTCCTGTCGAGACGAATATCGTCCGAAAAGAGAAGGAAAAACGGATAGAATATCGAGATTTTCTCTTGGAACTCCGCAGACTCTATCCAAAGCACTCTGACAAGATGGTTGTTCTGATTATTGAAGTCATTGGTGCAATGATGTCCTCTCTTCTCTCGAATCTTAAAATCATACCGGCCTGCCGCACTGAGGCAGAAATCTCAGCGGAACAGATGCAGAAGCCTGTCATTCTGGGCTCACTGCGCTGGCTCAGAGCACATGATTCTCGGACCTAATGATCAGTCACCCCACGGTGTGGAGAGTGATCGTTGGTTAATAATGCTGGCGCGCCATCCTGAATGTATCTGGGCTTCCGGGGATAGGGCATGACCAGCGCATACTTCGTTAAAAAATAATAATAATGAATAGAAAACTCAAGAATGACTGCATAAATTTTTATGATTTTTATTTCTTTGGATTTGTCTTTATCAGGAGTAGGATGGTAAATTTTGAAACATTATTTTTCATCAATAATAATGATAATAATGATAGAAGCCAGGAACGGCTGAAATGATTTTAATGATTCATATTGTTACGTATTGTATACACAACTCACCTCATACAACCTCATCCGCTGTTATTAATATAATCCCTCGCGTCCCCCTAATCTCCAAGAGGTCGTAACGCCACTGTATTTTGGTGCCAATTCGACGAAACGCGGGGATTCCAAGCAAAAAGAGATCAGTACAATTCAAGAATCCGATCGGTAGAAACCAACCAGAAAAAACGCGCGTATGTGTGCCACAGCAATACCAAAAAGGTAAGTGGAATTCTTCCTCTTGAAGCGACTTGTACCTAAACAAATACAGTCCATTGCTCTTCTCGAACACATATCATATTAGACAATGGAAGTCCGAACTAATGGTACGGACTCAGAATCAGCGACTCATTTCGAGAATATGAAAAGAATATGGTCAAGCTCACCAAAGAAGAAAGACACCTAAGTTTTTTTTGCAGAGCAAAAGACAACAATATCATTCTGAAAAGTTTTCTGCTGAAATCGCCAATTCCAGTAGAGAGCGAAATGCATATTGGAACGCACCAGCCAAACACTGATAAGGTGTCAAATTAATTACCGCCGTTGGAAGAGGTCAACTCTGATAAAGGATGCCACAGAACGATTTGAAGAAATAAGAAGAGAGACCTTGGAAGAGTTATCTTCACCGTTTGTTAACCGCTCGATTCGCTTTCTTGGTACAGACTACTACTCGGGACGGAGAGTGACGTTTTTATATCGTCAACGAACGTTCCGGATCCCTCTGCGGATTTCGGGACCCATCCGGACATTTCGCGATGCGTAATGCGTTTGCTGACTGGGACACCGGTCAGGGCCGGCTTCAGATTCATTACAAAGGCATCATATACAGTCACCTAGCAAACAATGCATTTTATTCTGTGCAAGAAGTTTTAATCTCCTAATATAAGTCGATAAGATGCTTTTCTTGTATTTGTAATGTACATGTATGTATCTATTTATATTTTATATATAGCCTAGGGCTCATGTTTGACTAGTCTGATCAAATTTTATAAGTGTTATGTAATGCAATGCAATTGTAAAATTTTTAATGATGAATAAATTCTATTCTATTCTTTTCTATTCTTCATGCCTCTCTCAGTATCCCTCCTTCAACTATTCAGCCTTTTACTTTCCACGATATCTTTTTCAAACATATATCACCTTATCACCATTTAACATACAAACCATATCCTTATCCCTGATTACATCCAATATAAAGCTGTGTGATCAAGACAGACCTAATAATTGTGCGCATGCAGTGCTTCGCCAATAATGACCTCGTAGTGTACACGTAACCGTAGTGCATCACCTCACATTAGTGCTTAAACTCTAGTGCAGTCGGACATTGCTTGTTAACTGAATTCAAATTATAGTTGAACTTTGTTTTAGCGCAAACCCAGGTGGGGTTTGGGTCCGACTCAGATCCACTTCAGTGTAGGCTCCACCTGTAGTAGCAACATGATTCTGGAACTCGTGGCTGGATTGCCTTTGCAGCTGAAGCCATTAATGGAAAAATAAGAAGAAGATCAGAGGTCCGACTTAGACCACCGACATAAAAGGTTATGTCGATGCATTAGACCAGGGGTCTCCAAACTTTGAAGCCTTCGGGCCATAATGATTTTTTCAGTTTGTTCCAAGGGCCAATTTCTGCCCTTAGCTATATTTCTAGACTAGGATAGTCGCAAAGTGCGTAACCTAAGCAAAACTTACGCTTTTTTTGCATTTAAATTATTATTGTGTATTGTGACACTTAACGACATCTAGTGGCGAGTAGTGGTACTATGTACTATCTTTTTCAGCTACCCGCTAGGTGGCATTAGGCGTAATTAAATATTTGGAATTACCGCGTTGGTTCGAGAAAGTTCTGGTTCTAGCTAGTGTATTCCGATCACCTCGAGATGGCAGTAATAATTGCATATAAAAAGGCTAGCGGCGCAACTGCGAGTTAGTCTGCGTAGNGTAGAAGTTACTTATGAAGATCAATCAAAACAGCCTAATATAACTGATTTGGTGACGATTCCAGTGCAAGAGGAACAAGCCAATCAACCGGATAATATTCAAAATGAGGTGTTTGAACCAGATCAAATTGAAGTACCTGATGATCAAATACCTCATCCACCAACCAACATAACAGAGTTGAGAAGATCAGGCCGCCCTGTTAAACTTCCATCGCGCTTCAACGATTACATAGTTGAAAAAAAATAATTCAATAAGCGTGGGAGATTGTTGTGTATTACATATATTTATATATTTGGGACACCCGTGATATCATTAGTGTAAATTATTATCCAGTTGTCAAATAGATGTCAATTAAAAAGATCACAAAGAGAAGTCACATATTCATTATAAAGTGGTATTAATACATACATCAAATCAAATACTACTCATTCACAACAGTTTTGGCTGTCGCGGGCCAGATTGATGACAGTAAATCATTGACTTTCGCGGGCCGGATTGATGACACTGGCGGGCCGTAGTTTGGAGACCCCTGCATTAGACTTTAGGTTTGTGTTTACTTCTATACGGTGCTTTCGCTTTTGTGTAGAATTCTGTGGCCAAAATGAATGTATTTGAATCAGACGAATACGTTTTGAATACATAAGTGCCAGAGTGCCAGTTTTTGATATTTATTCTGACATTGTCTAAATTCATTTCATTGTATGTTTTAATATTTTTAAAAAACACAGCATCTAGAATTATGGAGGTATTTACGGAAGACAAGTTCTGCAAGTACTGTGAAGAGAAACTAGGAATAAGTTTGGAAGAAGGACTACAATGCAGCGAATGTAATAAAAATGTTCATTTGAAATGTCTAAAAAGGGGCTCGGTGCCCGGAGGACTTTATGGCGATGTTTTTTTTTCGTTCACTTGCCAGGAATGTTCTTCCACAGAAATTGAAGTATTTTCAAGAATCAAATTGTCCTGGTGAGTATAATATAGGAAAAAGTTGGACAACATTTTCCAGTAATAATAAACCCCAACAAGAATTTAAAGATTCTAGGATTTTGTGTAAGGTTTTTAGTTCATTAGGTACTTGTTTTATCATAAAATATATTGAAATTCCCAGTTAGTATTATATAGTGAAATTTTATAATTATGAAGTTCCTTGCAGAGTATCCACACACTTTTCTGAAATTTTTTGATTCTCATGTGCCAAGTTGATGAAAATTCACTGTTGCAACATGATGGTAATCTATCATGTACTCTACCGCATACACCTCAATTTGATTTTTTATTAAATTTGTAATGTAAGAAATCTTAAGTAACAGTTATTGTATTGTTTATTAAGCACAATGCAGATCCTCCATGTACATGAAGTGATTGGGAAAATTGAAATATCAATTTTTGGTAGACCTACATATTCAATCTCATTTTGCTAATACCAGTAATTGGGCTGCTTCCAGTTCTATTAAATTGTTTATTTGATAAGTAAAATTCAGAACCTCTGGCGTGAAACGAATATTTCGAAAACATATATTTCTCACCAGAACAAAAATGGTGTCTTTCGATGCAACGTTACGCTAATGTGGCTAGCGAAACATACCAACGTGAAGTTAGTTATTATTCAAACGTCTCAATGGGAATACAGAAATCCTTTCATTTATATGTTTGTATGTCCCAAGTAGGCATACTGGGTATGAAAACTTATTTTATGTACCGTTTCATTCAACAAATCATGGTTAATATTCAATATGTGCTCTTACAAAATTGATCTGTTTTCCAACAATCTGAACTTGATTAAAATTCAAATGCGTCAAATATACCAAATCACAACAACCAAATCACAAAATTTGGTTTCATTCCCTACCATTATATTAAAGCTAATTTGACCCGCTTCACGATTCTTGCCTGCTGCACTTGTCACCAACCTGTCACAATTGTGTGAAAAATGCTCTTCTAAAAATTGTACACTATACTATTTTGTAAAGGTTCATGTAAAATACTACATTATTCGGAAATATAATAGAACTGACCAGTACTCCTGTTTCCAATTCTATTTTTAACAATATGTGTAATTCAAAAAACTGCCATTTAAAATAAATTCAGACAATATACTACCATAATTTCACTCTGAGGCTATTCACTTTACTTCATCATACTAGACATCTTCTTGTGTCTGCTTCAATTAGTTCATGACAGAGTTCTTGGTCTTATCAGTAAGTTTAGATTACAATAACTTTCAAAACTGAATACTTTATAAAACTCTAATGAAACCTTGTTTATAATCATCTAGGAAGTGGATTTGAAAAACAATATGGAGCAAAGTAATCGATATAAACTTCAATCCAAAAATATTTTTATTTCAGGTTGCAAGTAGTTGTCTTAGTTTTATATCATCTGCACTATAAAAGTCCTGGACTAGCTAGAAAAGGGTTTTTCCATTGGAGGCATCATATTGGTAAATTTATCGATAAAAATTGGGAAACATTATTCACCAATGAATGCAAAAAGAAGAAAAAATGGACTGGGACCGTAGCAGGTACTCTTTCCCACTTCAGTAAATACATTTTTGTGTCAGGAAATGCTGTTCTCAATAAACCTGCTGTTTGGGCCTTGATGTACCCAAAACTTACTCCTCTTGCTATTTCTTGCATATGTAAGTGAGAAAATTATTCGCAATTGAAATACATAAGAAAAATATTTGTTACATGTATTACATATCACTTTTTTACAGATTCGGTAATGATGCTCGAGAAACAGCACATGAAAAATCAAAAGTTAACCCTTATTCCAGATGATGATCTTTTTCATGTAACAGTTCGCAAATGTATTGATAATGAAGACTTTTTGCAAGTTTTAACAGATACACAAAATATTTGTGAAACCCAAGATAACAGTGATGATAATGATGTAGTATTCGACAATGCCCAAGTAAGAGAATTTTTTTTATCTCATGTTTTAATGTTGTGATAAGCTAATTTTTTACGTTTACTGTGTCCGGGAATTCTCGCTCCATTTGCTTGTCAGTAAAATTATCAATGTTAATGTTATTTCATTTTCAGATTGTCAAAAAAATGAAAAGGAGGAAAAACTGTGCTTCTCAAGTTTCTAAGAAGTAAGTAAAATTGTGTTTTGAGTATCTCAGCTTGAGGGTTCATAACATTATTCAGAAATATAGAAGAATTGACCAATACTTGATGAAAATCCTTTATAATGTATTAAAAAATACAATCCGACCGTAAGCATACCCTGAAGCTGCTGGATTCCATCCAGAGAAGAGCCATCTGCCTGATTGGAGACGCGAACATCTCGTGCAACCTTGATAGCCTGGAACATCAATGAAAGGTTGGAGATTTGTCTCTCTTCCTTAGATACTTTCAAGGGAAGTGTTCAAGTGACTTGGAACATTCGATTCCACCAAGAGTGGTACACATCAGAAATACGCGACGGACTGTGGCTGCTCATCATTTTGAGGTTCAATTCAGTAAACCTCGAACTTCACTGTTCAAGAACTCTTTCATTTGGAGAACTACGTTTATGTGGAATAAACTTCCTTAAAAAAAATTGTGGTGTGCTCATTGACCATAGTAATAAAGTCTACTGACTGAGGCTACTAAGTGCGAATGGGAAGTTTTGTGCTTGCGTTTTTGTATTTTGCGCGATCTGTTGTATCCAGATTACAAATTGATTGTCACTTTTCAATTTAGACTACATTGACTTCCAATTATATTCACTGGCTGTAGAAATCCAAGTGATACTCACGGTTTTACAGCCGTTAAACTCGAGAATATCAGAACATATTTAAGCACGTCTACTCACGACAGATATTCGTACTTTTTTATCTCTATTTTATTCTATCACCTGTACACAGTTTTTCAATGTCCTTTATGATTTATTTTAGAATGAAGAAATTATCTAATTGTGAATCAATGCTGCCAAGTGACCTCCCTGGATTAAGCAGTTCCACAGATTTTCAAGAAGAAACTGAATATCGCATAATTTCAAGTACAACAAATGATGCAACCACAGTAGGAGAAGTAGCAAAATATGTGGACCCTATGTGTTATTATAATACTTCCTTGACGAGTAAGTCTTGCATTATTGTAAAAAACTTGAAAGAGAAAATGATTTCAGGGTATCAGTAACAAATTTGTAGTCAGAACAAATAAAAAATTTATGAATAAGTTATTGAAAGTGTAGTAAATTTTTTCACACATTTTCCAGTAAATCTCGATATTTATAAATACATAAAGTACTGAGTACTCAAAACATATTTTGTTTTTCAGGTTTTTCTAGAACAAAAGGGCTTGATATGTATTTGAAACTGACTGGAGGAATTCGAGAATTACCAATAAAGTCACCCTTCAGTGGTATTCACCTTCCACCTTATATTTTTAGAGACACCGATACATTTCCTCCCTGGTTGAAGCTACTGGCAAGAATAAAGCTTGAAGCAAATAAAAAAGTTGAAAACTATATTTTACCGCCTCGGGGAGTTATTGACTTTGTATATGTTCAGCCCGACCTTATTCCAGCTTTAAACAATCTTTGCAACCAGTTTTTCTGGCCTGGAATTGATTGTAAGTATCCATTGCTTTTTGTATAGTACATCAATTATATTTGCTTGTTAACCCTTTGAAGCAGATATTTTTTTTTCAGATACACTTTATTTTACCAATTTATTTGTTGCTTGTGGTATAAAAAACAAAAAAAAAATAAAAAATAATATTTGTTGCTTTGTTTTTGCAAAATTCAATAAAAAGTGTGGTTCCTTATTAGGACCAACAGTTAAATTAAACAAGATTCGTGGCAATATCTGAAGGAAGTTCAATCAAAAAAGCATAGACCTCATCTGAAGTTACTTTATTCAGGTTCATAATCCAATCCGAAAGAAATGAATAGAATATATAAATAAAATTTAAAAGCCTAGTGGTTCTTTTCGGGTTCACATCATTTTCTAACCTGTATCCTAAACCTCCTACATTTCTCACCCAAATAGGACCTTACATGAAACTCACGTCAAAATGATTGACAAAGATCACAAGCAGACAAAATAATGTGTGACCTTGCCAGCTATTCGAATGTATCTCACACTTATGACGCCTCAAATAAAGTAAAATCAAGATCAGGGAGGGTTTCTAATAAGGTATAAACATCAGTGGTTCCAGCAAGCCCTTACTAGGCAAGTAGTACTTTGACAGGACCACTTGACGTCAAATGGTTAAGATTGACGTCATTGTTGACGTCATTGTTGTCTCTGTTAGAAATGATATACTCCGAATATAACGCTAAAGAAGCAGTCNTCGACGAACCGCAATGACAATTCTAGATGAATGCCGTAAGGACGAGAAGAGATCTGCAGTGATCGTTGCCGCTATATAAGCCGGCCTCCCGTCCCTAGGGGGAGTAGTCTGTTTCTAGAGAGCGAATCGAGTGGTTAAAAAAACTGTGAAGATAAATTAAGCGTTAGTTACTAAGTGTTGTATATAAATTAGTTGTGAAAGTGAAATATTGTTAAAAATAAATTTGTTTAAGACAGTTAATTCTTTAAACTACTATAAAGTAAACTACTTTATAGTTGTGTTACAACTATAAAGTTGTATATTAATGAGTGTGTCCCTTATAAGTACTTTAATAACTCTTAAACACATACAATGTTTTTATTCAATGATTGAAAAAAATTTAATTTCAACATATTAAAACTTTTCTATCTGTATCTATATGTACATCTTTTCTTATCTTTCAAATTTGATCACACCGGTGATTTATTGGCTATTTTTTTTAGTAACAGAAACATTAAAATATCCAGAATACAGTTGTGTCGTTTTGTACAGAAGACTCATTGTTGGATTCGCTTTCATGGTGCCCGTTAAATTTAAGGAAAATTATATGCCATTCATATTTACGAGACCACATTGGAGAAATTGTGGAATTGGACAATTCATGATATATCATCTGATGCAGGTAAGAATTTAACTTAATGAAAACCCATTTTCCACCTTGCATTTTTGTTGTATTTTTTTCAGGTTTGCATGGGTAAAGACATCACACTGCATGTGCCAACGGATAATCCTGCTATTATACTGTTCAAAAAATATGGTTGCCAAATAGAGAATCACGTAGAAGGTTTCTATGACAAGTACTTAGGAGTTGATATGAAAAAACCAAAACATGCATTTTTCTGTCGACTAAGTAACGACTGGCCCCCCTAAACTTGATGAAAACATTTTTTAGAGTAAATTGATTTTTTTTAGTGATACTGGTACTGATAGATGAATATTTTGGAAATATATTTAATTACTATCAGTAGTTACCAATTATGTGAATACTGTTGACATGTTCATTTTTAGGTCAGGTTCCATGTAAAAAATATTTTATGTTGGTAATATGTTTTGTTATTCTGTTTTATATCTTGTATGTGAAGTAATGTTTAATGGTTTACAGAATTAAAAAATATATTTTTTTAGATACTGATCATTTTCTCTGAAATAACCAGGGGTCTTCAAATAAAAAAAAGTCCATATGGAAGACCACAGTAAATTATAGTATAAAAATTGAAGTTTCAAGCTCTCACAGCCAAAAGTTGTATGGAAACTATGGTTATCCGAGCTATAGTTCATTTTTCCTCACGTCA